TCTTTTTAAAAATTTGCAAAAATCCTGCACTATACCTTTAATGCATAACACGTTATGTTAACTCAGAATCTATTGTGCACAATGGCTTGGTTTAGTAACAGGGCTAATACCTAAAGTCTCAATTTCTGTGGTAAGACTCCATCAGATTCTTTCAGCTAGACATCTCCTGATCCAGTATTATGTCACAAATATTGCCCTGCATCTCTGCTTCTGCTTAACGTTTATGAAACCCATTGGTTAATAATAAATAAGTCACTTTTTCTCACAACTATGTTTTTTTTGTGCATTTAAGTAATGGGACTTGATCAACCTGTTTTTAACAATCCACATTGCAAAATACAAAATAATGTTAATAATAATAATGTAATCATGTATTTTATTATACTGATGTTGGATCAGTTAATATTTAAAGCTGTGATATCAGTCTAGACACATCCACTTACAGCAGTGAGCTTTCCAGTGGCATCAGAAATAACCACTTGCAACCTTTATGAAGCTGTGCCTTAAAAAAATCTCTATGATATAATTTACTTCAATCTTTTGACTCCCAGACGTTTTAATAACTAATTTTTTTCTGAAAAAAACCAATCAAGAATTACTCCATAGATATCAGACTTAATGCAAAGCTTTGGTAGTTGGGTATAGGTGACACAAAAAGTATTTTCTTTTAGTTTAAGCAATAGTACAGATGTTACCGTTGTCTAAATTGGTTGTGATCTGGGTCACACAACAATTTGCTGACCCCCCATGTAATAGATCTCTGCTCCACAGCAAAACTCCTCCAGTTTCTCTGCAAAGTCTCTTGTGCTTAAGTGGTCACAGCTGCATTTCTTGCTTTGTCCAAGGCTTGAAGAAGAGACTGCTGGTGAGGTTTTTGTTTCATCACCGGGGACTGATTTCTAATTTTCCTTATTTACCACCACGAACCCATTGATGATGGTTCTTGAGAAGATAAATTAAGTTTATAATATTGAAACTTCTTTTTGGCTCCTCCTTGCATCACTGGCGTTGCACGTATCAGTTCAGCAATCCTCTTCGGTTTGTCACAAAAAGCACCTTTTATACGAGTGCGTTATATCTGTGGAATGACTAATGTCTGATATTATATTTAAAAGCAGCTATCGGAACATTCTGAAAACTGGTCAATAATATGCATGTCCCCAATAGCTAGTCAAGCAAAAAGAGTAAAGGAAATATACCAAGTTTTAGATTGGTTGCTTGAATGGAGTATATGGTAGACATATGTTTCAATTGCCATGCATTCAAAATCTGCATGTGATCAATACAATTTGACATTTAGATGAACTCTAACTTACCCATCCCTAAGGTCTATTTTAGTAACCATGATGTAAGGAAAGACGGAGAGGATGCAGGAGAATACAGGTTAATTGCACCTGATAATATTATGCAACATTCTGAGATAGCATCGCAATTACTTCTGTATCTGATGCTGTTCAGCCATAATGGAAATGTTATTGCAAAAGAGATAATGCAATGCTAATTTTTAAATAAGCGTTGCATTATTGACTCCAGCTGTGGGCTCAATCTGTAAATAATAATTAAAAAAGATGTTATGTCATTTCTTTATACTTATTTAGGTGAAACAACTCAATTAAAATTGGCAAGAGCTTGACTACAAAAACTAAGCTGTAATTGTTTACAACAGAACAGCTGCAGCTCTGCTCTTTTGAATGTCTTCACATTTATGAAGACTCAAAAGATGAAAGCAATATTTCAAGACTGTTTAGGAATCCAGTATTACAATGTGCAACAGTTCCATTGAAGTAGGCCTGCTTTTGCACACAATCAAAGGCATGAGAATATGGCAAGAATTTATGGTTTATGACCAGAAGCTTTAGAGTAACATAAGCCCCAACTGGAAGGGATGGGTCTAACCTGAAAGGATCTTTCATGAATGGCCTGTACTCACCTCACCTGAGCTGGCGTGGGAGAGTGTGGCTGGACTTGCTCCAGATCCTCTGGCCTTGCAAATCCTTGGCACAAGGTGAATGACTCTGTCTGTGCGAAGTGCTTGAGCCAATCAGAATAAAGAACCTGAGGCTTATGAGAAAAAAAAAAAAAAAAAAGCACTTGCACGAGCGATTGAGGTTGACCGGTCTGTGGCTCCGGTAACGGGAGCACAGAGGCTCCAAACACAGACCCAGACAGCAGCGTCACAGAAACCTTAAGTTTATGATGATGTCTGGGTTTTGAATTGAGACATAAGTCAAACCACTGAGACCCTTCTGATTATCATCTGAGCAGAAAAAGACAATGAGCAAGTCTGCTTCTCATCCATTTTTAATTGTGAAAGTGAGTGGGTCTAATCTTAGAGGCGTGTTGGAGTCTTAAATGACTTCCTGGGAAGCTGCCAAGTTGTGAATTCAGCAAAAACAAGGAATTTTCCACTGGTTCAGTCCTAAATGGATTGAATTAGTCCAGTTTTAAGACTCTGCTTACTTTAGCCAGTGCATAACTATTGGTAGGAAAAAATGAGAAGTTGGTAGTCTTAATACGTGATAATGTAATTTTATTTTGATCTGACAAGGTAGCATTCAGTTATATAGTATTCAACTATCAACTTGTTTATCCATCCATGCATCCAGTTTTTGTTGCGTGCAGAAAGGACTTTAAAGTCCCCTTCAGTGAGATCAATATCTGTATCAGAATCTCCTTCCGAAAGGACCTTATTGGAAAACCTTCAATATCTCCAAGGTTTATTATAATCAAATGTCAAGAACGGAGAATATTCGGGTACCTGAGCCACAGCAGGTTATATTAACTTTATTCAGTGCGGAGCAGCAGATTTTAACCCAATTTCTAAAGCGGATAGCAGCTCTCCTATGATTAAAACTCATTCAAACTTTTTGGATTTGGGTTCTTTTTCTCCCGGCCATGATTCATATTTGTTAAATCCACAAGTTTTCAACTTTTTTCCCCCTCAGCTCTTCTGCATTTATAGAACAAAGTCTGTTGATGCAGTCCTAATCCATCCAGCTGTCTGCTCCATTCTATAAGCAAGTGTGAATAAGACACCAACATACTCAACCTCCAACACCTTCTGCAGGATAACTATATTAAAGTCTGAGAAAATATGATTAACTAGCCATTGGGCATGGGTGAGATTAGCTGTATTAATGCATATTGATGTTTTTAAAATGTTCGGTTTCAAAAGCACAAATAGTGGTTCCCACTTCCCAGATCTTTACATTCCTGTTTGCAGAGGCCTGAAGAAAATGCATGAAGAAAATGGCGGAACTTCCTTTCTTTAAATAGAGAAAAGTAACCCTGCGCCTCCTCCTTATGTTGCTGTGTAACAACGGTTTTATCAATCAAATAATGTTCCAACATACCCCCCATGTCATTGCAGATCAACACATTTCACAAAGAAGAATAAATGCTACATAAAATCACTGACCTCTTGTCACAAAAAGCTATCAAACAGACAAAGTACAGCCTGTGAGAAGCAAATGTGAAAAAAACAGCAGAAAAAAAAATCAATAATCCAGGAATTACCACCCTGAAGGTACCCATTTCTGGAGAGGAGTGCTGTAAAACAAATTGTCTAAGGCAGGGAGGAGCTTAGGTCAAAGGTTAAAATAGATGGACACAGGAAGTTTATATGGATGACCATCTTCCAACCACCTGCTCGCAGGCACGCCTTGAGGAGCACCATGAAAAAAACAACCTCACTGGCGAAATGACAGCCCGGACAGACTGAACTGCAATTGGTGAAAACATCCTCGCCAAGATAAACAGCAGGCATGACTGGTGATGATTTGCTGGGAATGTCCCAAATGAGACACAGATCTCTAATATCAACAATTAGCTCTAAAGTAGAACAGAAAAAAAACACTTTTAAAACATAACATTAATTGCAAGTGTCCAGCAAATCCCATCTTCGAATGACTCAACGCAAACAGAGCAAACACAGGAAGCAACAACTTGGACATGACACACCGATCATCTGGAGCCTGACCTTTTGTAGTGTTTACAGACAGTTGCAACGGTTTCAAAATGTTTTACGTCCTCGTTCTTGGACAGATGAGGGACAATACAAATGTAAAAAGAAAAGAAAAAAAAAAAAAAAGAGCCAGTTGGGTAACAGAGTTGTCAGCCCGAAGGCTGCTCTGTATTGAGCTGACACATCAGAAAATGCTGAATTCCCAATTGGGAAGCTCTTCTAGGACATCAGAGGTCATTTTTGACTGAGCCATCTCTCTTTCTCTGTAACCTGAATACTTTGACCAGATGGAAAACACAATCTGCTCAAACTCCCTGCAAAAGGGATTTGGCAAGACAGTTAGTTCAGATTACAAAAAAAAAAAGATTAAAATAGCATCTCTGGTAGCTTTAGGACAATTCAATTGACTGTTTGCTGGGGAAAAAAAGTAGACAAAATGTTTATGTTTTGGTGTGTGAGTCAAGACAATTATGTGTGCATAATATTTAAGCTCCACTGTAGTGTTTTCTCCCCTCCTCCACTTTTTTAGAGACTCTGAACAGACGGTGGGAAAAAAAGACTATTTGTCCAGGAGGGGAAAAAAAACCTAAAAAGGAAATGATGTCTTGATATAAAAATAATAATAAAAAAACTGATTTTGAAGCAGATCAGAAAGTGTAAACTAAAAAAACATTTTTTGGGGAAAAAGGATAAAAACTTTCCAAAAGCAAAGAGAACAAAAACTTTTTCATGCTTTTCAGTAAAGAGATCAGAAACTTCTATTTAACTGCATTTTTTCACCCGTCCAAATGTTTTCCTCTGTTTGCTTCAGATGTTTCAAACTGCAGAAACTATGCCGCTCGCAAAAAAACAAACAAACAAAACATTTGCACACAGTGTTCTCCTGATCCTGCTTCATAAAACTACATCCACCGCTGTCATCTTCTATAAAAGCGTTTTCTTGCTCGATCTTTGCATGCTGCATGTTCCTGTCCCCGCAGAAACGAGGAGGAAATCTCAAACAAACGACAGAAACGGAGCGGCGGAGAAATCTCACCAGCTTTACAGGGATCCTTGTAGTCGATCGCCTCTGATGTGGCAGTGGGCTCCACATAGTAGCCCGGATCAACTGCGTCCAAATGCATCGCTAATATCACGTTGAGACAGGATATAAGAAACAAACATCTTGCAGAGAGATCCATGTTTGTTGTGGGATGGGAGGGGGGGGGGGGACTAAAGACAAGGGATAAAGGTAGAGGAAGAGAGAGGGACAGAGGAAAAGACAGAGAGAAGAGTGAGTGAGAAACAGACACAGTGAGTGAGAGAGAGAGAGAAATGGGAGGGTTATTTTTCTTTTTTTCAGCAGGGGGAGATTCTGCTGAGGTGGGGGGGCGGGTTTTAAATCCACCCTCTCTCCGGTGTCTTCTTTAAGGAGGAGGGTTAGGGCCACTGAAAAAAAAAGTTAACTGATTTTTGAATATTATTTCAGTTTAATAAAGGAAAAAAGTCAGAATTCTGACTTTAAATTCAAAATTCTGACTTTAATCTTAGAATTCTGATTTTTTTCCCCTCAGAACTGACTTTAATCTCAAAATTCTCACTTTTTTCTCAGAATTCTGACTTTAATCTCAGAATTCTCACTTTAATCTCAGAATTCTGAATTTAATCTCAGAATTCTCACTTTAATCTCAGAATTCTGACTTTAATCTCAGAATTCTCACTTTAATCTCAGAATTCTGACTTTAATCTTAGAATTCTCACTTTAATCTCAGAATTTTGGATCTTAATGTAGATGGGCACCATGGCGGAAGAGATGTGGGAGAACTCGGCTTCACTGACAAAGATGTGAGTTGTTTGAGAGGGTCAGTAACAAATTTAGTAAAATAATGCAATAACGTGACTTTTTACATGCCCGAGCCCGAGGGCTCCCCCGTGATGCTATTTAATTAATGGAAGAGCAGAAGGTGATTAAAACAAGAGAGCTAGTCTCTACAACAGACATGGCTACGGCTTAGTGCTAACATGTTTGTTAGCTGTCACAATTCAGTCAGAATTCAGAGAAAAGGGCAGAATTCAGAGATTAAAGACAAAATTCTGAGAAAAAAGTCTGAATTCTGAGGTGAAAAAAAGTCAGAATTCTGAGGATATTATACTGAAATAAAATATAAAGATCAGTTAACTTTTTTTATTTTTTCAGTGGCCCTAATCCTCTTCCGTACTTCTTTGCTCTGGGGTCAGTGGTTTCTCTCCTCCAGCTGAGAAACTTTGATGATATGGCAGCAGCAGCTCCACCTCAGTCGGTGATGCTCAGCTGCATTTTTATTGCTCCACCAGGGGAAGCTTGGAAAGCGCTGAAAGGAGGTTCACTTACAAAACAAGTGATAAAAATGACAGTTTATACAATGAAAACCTCTGAGTTTAATTAAACAAACTGAAGGAAATTAGAGGGGAAAAAACTCAAAGGAATGATTTGTAGCTTTTGCTCCGATTGAGTTCTGTTTCCAAAGTGTCAAAAACGTCTAAAGACATCAAGCAGCCAACTTTAATTCAAATGTTTGCTGATACTCAGCGCTGTTGTTTACTTCCGCACACGATGCAAGCATCGTCGCACGTGCGCTGTGGAGCCGCAGCGGCAGCGGCAGAGCCTCGCGCTGATGCACGCACGCGCCCAGACTGCTGGACCTGCAAGGCATTTTTAAACCAACCAGTTGATGCAAACAGCGCGCCACCTGTTGGTGTTTTACCAAAACAAATAAAATACCATTAAGAAAAAATTAAACCTTGACACGAGTATTGATTAGAACGGGCAGATGTTCAAACCCTGGTTTATTACATTAAACCTGACCTTCCCCTATGTTCACTTTCTTTCTGGTTTCGAAATGAATACACTATAGAAAATGAAAAAGAAAATAGTTAATAAACAATTTCATAATAAAATATAATTATGAAAGCCTTACAGAAAGATGTCACCCAAAACAAAATAAAAATGTAACATCAGCATTTCCGCAAATAAACCAATACCTTTTTTTTTTCATTTCTACTCTTTTTATTTCTACTTATGCTTACAGCAAAATTCAAAGAATTGTCATCTTTGCTATATCTTAATTAATGCATATCTTTGCTATTATTACATCTTTAACTTATCCTCTGTGCGCCTTTTAAATATATATTTTTTTAAAGAGTTACTGGTCGTATTGCTCTAACTTTACTTATAGAGGGAGGATTTTTTATCCATCAACTGTGTTCTACACTGATCCATTCCTGGACCAGGAGTAAAACTCCTCTCCAGCAAATTCTGCAGAGATTCGAAAGGCGTTCACTGACCAGAAGGAATGCAAAGTCCTGTCATAACAATTGAGAAATCAATATTTCATGTCCCAACACCATAGCAGTGGGCTGGAATATAGATTGGCAAATAAAGTTTAACTGTACACACCTGTGTCGTAATCTTGTGGGATATAAAAAACAAAAATAAAAGTGCCATCCTACAACTTACATGTTGTAGGATGGCTTCTGACTTCATAAATCATTGATTCAAAACTTGTTAATAGAAAGAGGAGGTCATTTAAAAACATTGACATAATTCAATTTGACAACTTGTGTCTTATTGCAACTACAAACCCAAGTTAGTTGTAACGGGATAATATGACTGTAAATCAAAAAAAATTTTTTGTTTTTATATGCTCAAAGAGATTTGAAAATTGCTGTGTGTATTTATTTTCTGAACACTTTATTTTGGCTCCCCTAGATGCTAGTGCAAGAAATTTCATCAAAAACCCACCTACAGCAATCAATGAATAGAGTAAATCTTTTTATTCATGTATATCATCGGACCTATGTGAACAAACATCATAAAGACCAGGAAACACAAGAGTCTAGTTAAGGATACATTTAAATAGAATAGAGAATCCCTTTAATTGTCACACAATTGGGAAACTGTCAGGGGCGGAGCTAGATGGGGGGCCAGGGGTGGCCATGGCCACCCTAAGCCAATCATTGGCCACCCCTGTGGCCACCCACAACAATTTTTTTCCTCTAATACAGATGGTGGCAACAGTTGTACTCTCAAGTGGAATATTCAAACCGTTTTAATTTTTCATATATTAACATTTACTTGACAACAAAGACACTGTGGTTAATTATGCACATAAATATTCTGAAATTAAAGATAATTACATAATTAATGCTCTTTTCAGAACTAGATTTGGTGTTATATGGGGTAAAGAAAAAATTATGTGTCTCTGCAAGTCATCTAGGAGTCTTCAGTGAAATCATAGATAAATAACTATTTTAATAAAAACGTATTAAATAATCAATTTATGTAAATATTTTTACTTGTAAATATAATTTATTTGCAGAAGGATTATTGATCAAAACAAGTAATGACAATGGAAAAGATGTTTGCCCCAGAACTTAAACCTGAAAGAATTGTATCCACTATATATGCCTCTATTTGTTAGTAAAGGCTGTAGGAAAGGATAGTTTGCCTTCATTTAGAGAATATGGATGTTCATTAATTTTCCTATTGGAACAGTGTAGCTTAACCCTGAGGTTCTGTCGCCTATCCACTTTCGGGCAAACCCCTCAACGTACATTGGATATTGCCTGGCCACCCCTATAAAACATTTTTTGGCTACACCTCTGGAAACGGTGGTTTAAAATCACAGTTAACAAATTCAAAACAATACCACACACTTTGAAAATCTCATTAAACATCTTTCCCCCGATCATCGGTAAACAGACAGAGCAAGGAAAAATACATGACCAAACACATGACAGTTCACCTTAATTGACAAGCCAGGCAAGGAAAATCTAAAGTATACGGTAACTCTGGAAGAGCTGCAGTGGTCCAGAGCTCAGGTATGGGAGATTTTGATTACATGACAGCTATGAATGATCCATCTTAATGCCCCCTTAATGAAAAAGCTGTAGTTATAAATATATGACAAAACTGGACCTGAACAATCCTATTCAGTTTTCCACAAGCCAGAGAAATGGCAAAGCACTCTAATTAGATCATGTCCAAAGTTAACTCTTTATCCACACATGAAGGACAAAAATACACACTGAAAGTGAGAATTTGCTTCACCTAGCCTGAAGCATGGTGAGGGTATCATCATGCTGTTTTTGTCCTCTCCACTGAAACAGTTACTGCTGCTGATAATTGCAGGCAAAATAAACAACATTCTTTTTCTATCTGGCTTCAGTTTCCTGCCAATTTTATCAAACAGTAAGGCTTATATAAGCAGGACGAGACACATTCTTGACTTTATCTTATCTGATTGTTGGTTCTTGGTGGAAATTAAGGCAGGAGGTTGGGTTGGGTGCAACGAGTGTGCCGTGTTTGTACAGTGACTTTAGAAAGATATAAAGCATAAAACATTTCCATCCCTCAAAAACGGAATCTTCAACTTGTTAAGCACACATGTTTAGACAGATAAAGTAATGCAAAACTACTTAGAGGAAAGAAACCAGTTTACTTCAAACAAGAAGGCCAAACAAAATGTAAGCAATGAGCTTTGAACAGTGCTTAGTAACACTGAATCTCAAAATTGGGATTGTGGATCAGGTCTTGAGATCCTCAGCTTAGATTAAACCAAACACTGTATATGATTATGAGTAAGCTTATTTATGTGTTTAAAGACATAAAAACACAACTTAAAAAAATTGAAAAACAAATGTTTTTTATGCTATATTATTACCATAATACCGATGCGCAAAAATGTCTTAGAAATATTTATGCTCCAACCAACAGTATTTGTTATAGGTCCAGTCTAGTGATACTTTGTGGCTCAGAAGATGAAACGGTTGTAAATCTCTGCTTTAGATCATCTACCAAGTTTTCTTTGAGAATTTTCCAAATGAGCATCTTAACGAGCTTTATTATATTATGAAAGAATGCTGAAGTTTGAAAAAGGTTTGCACATAAAGTGAGGATAATAGGAAAAAGTACGCGACTCCCTCACAAACAAACAAAGATTTTCTCACATGGTGTGCAGCATGGAGCATGTCTCTACTCTATGTATCAGAGATGGACAAGAAGCAGAGTACAGAGAGCTGGTGAACCGCTTGTGGCATGGTGTGGAAACAATCTCCTAATTCCGAATGTCAACATAACAATGGAGATGATTGTAGATTTCAGAAGAAACAGGAACACGTTGAATCCTGTTAACATGGGAGAATTTAAAATGGTGGAGGAGGAGTATAAATACCTTGGTGTTCATCTGGAGAACAAACTCGACTGTCTACAAGTAAGGGCAGAGTAGAGTGGACTTCCTAGGGAAGCTTAGCTCCTTTGGCGTTTGCAGAAAGATGATAATATCTTCTACAAGTCTGTTGTGGAGAGTGTGATCTCTTCAATCATCTGCTGGGGTAACAGCAGCAGAGCAAATTACTTAATATGGCTCAACAGTCAAATAAATAAGGTCTGTTCTGTTGTAAATGCATGATGTCTTCATGCATTTTTCCAGTGCCAAAGAAGAACAAAGTGTCTTCAATGAGAGGCGTCTCTAGATCCAGGGCAAGACAGACCACTACAGAAGATCCTTCCTGCCTACAACTATGAACACCTGCAACTCAATGGTTAAAAAAAACAAACAAAACATAACCAAAGGCTATGAGTTATTGCAAAATTTTATTTTCCATTGGGATTCATAAAGTATTTTTGAATAGAATTTACCAGTTTTATACAAATAATGTCTAAAAAAATTGCACACATGGACTGTTCTACAATAGATGACCACTGAAGGTAACTGAATGCATGTTATTCTACTTTAGGGGCATTTCAGTACAGATATTGAATAAAAATGCAAACAATTTCACATTTCCATTTATAAAAATTGGTCAAAAATTTCCAAAATGTAATATTGTGGATTGTTCCATCCCATAAAACTAAAATAAAATAGTCATTATGCTTTATGGTAATACAGTGAAAATATGGGAAATAAGTCAAATAGTATAAAAAGTTTTTCAATGCAGCCAATTGAAAGATTAGTGTGCCTAAGGAATGAGTTTAAATCTCATCACAGTGGAATTTAGCCAACTTCAACAAACATTTAAAGCTCTAATTGTACGAATATATTTTTTTCTTTAAGAAATAAAGTAGGGCTAATAGGTAAGAGTGATATTCTGCACCCCTTTGTTTTTCCTGTGCATGATTCTGCTAGCTTCTTATCAATGAAAATTATTTAAAATATCCAGATTTTGTCTTTTGTGAACAAAGAAGCAGTTAATCTGCAATCTGAGCAATCAGACGTTCATCTGTTAAATGCAACAACCATTGTCATATGGCATTTGTTTAGTCCTGTCAATACAATTCCATTGCTCCTAATTAGTGGGTTACCACTTTTTGGGATGTTTCAAGTCATAAGAATTTTTAATTACTGTCCAAACAATGCATTAGAATCAACAATGATTAAAAACCACAGAAACTGGGTGAATTGTCAGAATCCTTATTTTTACTATTGTTCTTTAGTTTTTTTCCATTGAAACTTAGTTACTATGACATGTTTAGCAATATAAATCATACATCTTTATATAACTAGTGTCTTGAAGAAGCTAATTTTCAAAGTGCGTGTTCTTCAAAGGTATCATTTGTGGGGCTATGATGGCTATGGTAAGCAGTAACAGCCATACACTTAACAAAGATGTTTGTTTTTGACATCACAATATCCCCAAATCTTTGATTTTTTTCAAGGCTGCACTTTAAAAAATGAAAAAGTCTAGAGAGCTGTTCTTAACAAAATGTCTTTTTGTATACACTTGTATGTACAAAATGACAAAATAAAATCTGTCCAAGTCTAAACTGAATCCTTCAAATGCACATTACTTTTCTTGCCCTGAAGGTTCATGTTGCTTTGGTTTATTTAAACAGGAGCTGTGTAAAATGCTTACCTTAAAAAAAAAAATGAAACGAGCACAAGTTTAATTTCAGCCTTTATTGTAACAGTAGAAACAGAAGTTAAATGCCATGTGTCAACACTATTTTGTCTTTCCAACAGCTTAGCTTCCATGTTAATGATTATACTTCACAGCAATGTTGAGATAATGATGCAAACAAATGAGTCATGGAATGATAATTATAACAACTCTGACGAGAGCGGGTTCAGAATCCAAGATTTAGGCAATTTTCTTTTTGCTTTTACATAAAGATGAGTCCAGACATAGGCTGCTGATCTCTGTTCAGATTCCATTCAGATCCACAGCTGACTCTATAAGCTTTACACCAGTTGGCTCTTTCCAAGTAAACCTTCTTCACACTCGTCCACAGACCTGTCCTGCATGTCTCTGCGGTGCGGTAATCCTCTGTGCGCTAGAGATGCCCTGAACTACTGTTTCCAAAACAAAGAGTGAATGAACTCTGCGTGTTCAACGTGGCCGTCGTGTTTTGGCAGTTCGACACATACCAGCGGTCTGATTGGTGATGTGTGCCAAGCCGGGCAAGCTGCTTGCCAGTTTGGCCAGCCCACCGTTGGTGAGCAGCTGATGGATGGCAGTGGTTTTAGAGACCCCTCCTGCTGTGACTACCGGCACCGTCCGGAGCAGAGTGCCGCCGCTGGGACCAACAGAACTCAGGACTGGATCCTGGGATTTTCCACAAACTGCCTGGGAGAAAAACATGAATTAAAAAGTTGCATTTCCCCTCAGTCTAAATGTCACTAGTTCAATTTCGTAACAAAACAATAAAATGTAAAATATGTCTGCTCAGTCAACCATCTGAACTAAACTGCCTCCTTTAAATGACAGAATATGATTTGAAGACATTAACGGTTAAAAACTTGAGAACATTGTAGAAAACTATGATGGACGGTGGTGGTAGCATCATGTTTTGGTTTGGTTTTTCTAATCCTTGTTAATGAAGCATGAGCTAAGATTAGATCAGAACTCCACTTTTTTTTTTTTTTTTAACCAATAGTGCGATTGCCCTACTGATACAGTTTTGTGGAAAGGTGCCTACTTCTACTCTCATGAATGGATCTGTGTACTAGAGGAATCTTTTTCTTCCCTTCTGTGTCGCGGCAAACTCACTTTAAGCATAAAACCGTCTCTTAAAGGACTGAGGTCAGAAAGTCAGTGTCTTACTCTTGTTAAATGTAATATTAATTAAATTGTAATTATATTGCAAATTAAATTAAATGCCCAGTCCTAGGATAAACTACCTCAAAATTCTTCAACTTTACTCCAAATCAAGAGCTAAACACAAATAGGTAATCCATTAGTTATCGATTAATACATTTATCTAAACTAGAGTGATCTTATTGGTCGACTAATGATCAAATGATAAACTGCCATTTCCTTAAAAACTAAAGTTTTCCTTTTTATATAAAGTTGCTTTTTCTTTAACATGAAGGGTTAAACATTTATATACAATACGCTGGACTTTATAAAAAGCGCATCACCATATTTCAACAATTTATTGCACAGGAACTAGGTTATTGAAATAAAAAAACACCAGGTATTTCACTCTGATAAGCAGGCTGTGTCCAAAT